AGAGAATTCATGAACCGATCCAACTCAAATCAAATAAGTTGATAACATAACTCAAATAGTTGGTTAAGTTGATCGTGTTTTTCCAGTCACCGAGCTTAGTAACAGTTCAAGATAAGTAGATAACATGGTCGAGTCACAAGAGATGCAGGAAAATATAGAGGCTATCAAGTGTCAAATTCAATTTTCAAATTTGTACAAACTTGCATTTGTGGCTGACGTTTTTCCTTTTCCCTCAATCATCTCCTCCTTAAAGCTGAGACATGAACCGAAAAATATGTGAATTTTTTGTTTATTCAAACTTGTTCTAAACCATTGGGGTCGGTTTGTTCGGTAGTTTTCACCAAAATCGGATCCGGCATACCCTAGAAAGTACGTTGGTTTATTACTTGGCTCTCTAATTTGGTAGGAGTTTTATATCTTTCTTTTAAGGGTACTTCGAAAATTTCATTTTCAATCCTTCTCGAGTCATTTGTAGGTCATATATAACTCTATATTAATTATTGTAATAGATAAAAGACGGGTAATACCCTTAAGGACCTAAATTACATTACGGAAAATTAGAACAGACTACAAATTAGGTCATTTGTTCCTCTTTTCCGACACAACAACTCTTAGTTTAATATCATGTTTTTTTTTTCAATCGAACTCCAAACACGTAACGATTATTTGAAGTAAAAATCATAAAAAGTTGTCCGAACTTCATATTGCTTTTAATAAATACATGAATCACATGATATTTTTTGTTATTTTAAATGTAAGTGTGTGATTTTTGGAAAGTGGTTGAAAAAGAGACAATAATTTCTTTAGTGGTCAACACTCAAGCCACTAATACTTTTGTCTGATTAACAATTTTTATTTTTTTAATAAGTCGGACTCGTATTTCTCAAGACACTTATAATGTCTAATTATAAGTGTGACACTCGAGTAAAAGAAAAGTACATGAATGAACCGAGACTATATCTGAATGAGAGCGATCTAGAGGATAGAATGATTAAGAAAAGTTTAAAAGAATTGAAAGTCACTACCTATACCAATAAGATACACCTTCTTTTTCGGTAGTTCAATTATAGAGACTCAATAGTTAAGCATTCTTTACTCGGAGCAATTTGATCTCTCAATAGACACGTAATGGGAAAACCCAGAAAGGAAAACTCAAAAACTTTCAATGGAAGCCTCGGTTCCGCTGCGTAACTCTAAAAGACACGTTTTAAAACCTTGAGACTAACGATGATACGTAACGAGACAAAACAAACAATATCTACTTGCGGTGAGGTTGGACTATATATGTATATTCTTTGTATTGAAAAGTTATCAATTCATACGTCTTTTTAACGATCGGAAGTAGATTTATCGTCTTTGAAAGATATTTAAAACATGGAATAGGTAGCTTTCACATCTTTGGGAATGGTTTTCCATATCCATCAATTTTTTTGCTTTGCTTTTCCTTTAATATCTAAACATTTATGTCTTTTGGAGGGGAAAAATAAAGTCAAAGTCAACGATGAGATCAGTCAACGCCCAAGAGTTGGACCACATGGCTATGTCCAATGGCAGTCTATGAAGATCCAAAAGGATGAAGACAAATGTAGAGTTTATAGCCGTTGGATGGAAATCCAACCGTCCTATTAAATCATTCGAATTTAAGACATTATATGAACATACGTAAATTACTGTTAATTATTTATTTTTAAGAAAATTTTGTATGTCGTTGGTATAAATAGTAACTATCAATTATTTTTTTACAGTAATTTCATATCTTTAATATCACTCTCGTTAGGTATATTTTTTTAGATTTAATCGTTGACTTTTTTAATTTTAATATAAATTAATTATTAAAATATTAAATTTAAATGTTATCTCCAAATTAAATTGGAACATATTTTCGGTTTTTTATCGGTTGGATTTATAAATATATTTGAATTATTCAATAATTATTAGAATAATATATATATATATATATATATATATATATATATATATATATATATATATATATATATATATATATATATATATATATATATATATTAGGGTTTATGGTTTAATATAATTTTATGAAATAAGACTGACAGAGATCCTAGAATATATTTAAAAACCGAAATATTAAGAAGTTTGTCTGATACATGAGAAGTTCAGGTGGTGACTCGAGTAACCCGTATAGAGTTCACAACCGAACCTTCTATTTTTGAGATGGGTTGGACTGGATTATTGAGTCGTTTTTTTTAATTATTTAAAAAATTATACTTATCTATAATGCATGTTACCTTAATAACTAAAATTCCATATCACTAACGTTAATTACAAACATTAAATATTCTTAATCTTTTTAAGGATAGGATTGAGTTGTAACCTATTGTCAGCTGGGTCAAGTTGACCCACAAAACAAAAAGTCAACTAGCAAATCAAACCAATTTTTTTGGGTAGGTCAGGTTAGCGGGTCATTGAACTATGCTTGGATTAACTAGATAGCAATCATTAAGTATAAGATTGATGAAATGTGAACGAGCCATTTTTAGAGGAATTAAGACTGTCTTAACCATTAAACAATGACGATATTGATTATTTTGTGATCTTCTACAAGTTAAATTCAAACACGGTATCAAATAGTTGTTCGATTATATAGTAGTTCATATATTTCAAAAGACGGGTTTGACCGTAAATGACCATATCGAGATATAAACAAATAAGATTTGCCCTTACACCCAATAATTTAAATTATTTATCATCCAATATTTTATTCTTTGTTTGACTTAGGCACACAAGATGCATCTGAAATTTCAGGCCAAAATAATTTTATACTCATAACCCTCATTAAATGGCATTTAGATCCATATATATATATACTTTTGTAAATATTCATCCAAATCTTAGTATCTAAATAATTGAAAAAAGAATTAAATGAATCAATATTATTGTGGTAATTAAAGAAATAAAAGTTGGAAATTTAAAATTGAATTTTTAAAAAAATTAAAAAAATAATAATTAAAAAAACCCACAAAAAAAAAGAAGGAATAGAAAAATATTTGGTAATATAAATTAATGCATTGCCAATGAGTGGTTAAGCATGCTCTGATTTTTCTTCTATAATTACTTGTAATATTTAATGCTAAATATCTAGATCCAACTGCCCAATGGGGAGTCACAATAATATATTATTTATTTATTTATTATTGTTTTAATAAAAAAAAAATGGATTTAATGATAATATTTTTATTAAATAATTTTAACCCTTATTTCTGACGACGACAAAAAAAAAAAAAAAAAAAAAGCGAAGGAGATCTTGTTAAGAAGTTTAGGTTGAGACTAGAACTCACGCCTTTGTAGAAATGTCAATTTTACCCCAAAGGTCGAGTACTGAAGAGGAATGAGGAGGGAGTGGAGAACATGGACGGGGTGGGAACATTTTTTCCATTAGATATACTTCCCGTTCATGTCTTCGCCTAATTTCCCTCTGTGCCTCGCTTAATATAAATATAGTTTCAACAAATATATATATGCATTTTGGTTATATTTAAAAAAATAAATTAAGTAATTTAACTACGATTTTATTTTATAAATTATGGCTTATAAAATATATTAATAAATTCGAAATTTTTACAATTTTTTATTAAAAATTATAAAAAAAAAATGTAAACTCTAAAATAACTATTTTTTTAAAGAATAATAAATAGAGAAAAACTATGTGTGGGGAACCTGATCCCTGCAAGAACCCGTAGATACTTTAAAGATTAATTTTGTATGCATTGTATCTACTTCGAAGAACCCGTAAATACGTATGATAAGAAACACTTATTATTATTATTTTTTTTTTTTATATTCTCGTGTTGTTGTAAGACAATTCTGCAGTTCTTTGTAATCCCGTGAGATTTGTTTGATTTTTTGCTCATGAATTCAAACAATTACTTCAAATATAGTATCAGAACGTACCATAGCTTCGTTTTCCACAAGCTTATTAGGTAAATGGCAGTTGATGTAGACAATGCGACCGAGCTTACAGTAAATGAAACGCTTCTTCTTCGTCTCGGTCTGCTTCTTTGGCTCGTAATCTTAAACTCGCTTTTCTTTCTTCTAGTAGTCTGAACGACAATAAATTTTATTTAAAAATTGAAAGAAAAATATACCAAAACCATAATTTTTTTCTTTTTGTTGTAAAATGGGCCATACGATGATATCATGAAGCCCATCCTTGTAAACGGGTTATAAGATCTTTCGTTCAGCTAGGATTCGAGCCTCGAACCTATAATTAATAGATATATTTTTATCGGTTAAGATTTAAATCGACTACAAATATATCTGTTTAATTGCGTATTTAAAATAATAGATAAAAAATAATTTTTAAACAAAAAGTACTTATAAAATTAACTACCCGACTTTTACGACTTTTTAAAGGTCAATTACTTTACGATAACAAATAAAAACTCATGAAATCGACTCGTGTAATTTAAAAATAATGAAAATAGGGTACACGAGTTTGAAGTTGGTTGGATTAGTAACCTAGGTAATTCGAAATGGTTTCACAACTAAATTCCACTATTTATTTTCGGGTTAGGTTGTCGTGTTCTTCAATTTAAAAAAATTTATATTTATCCACAATACATAATTATTTAACACAATCAATGGTGAGCGAGCAGCATGCTAGTGTGCAGTTGAGAGGGATGGTGCGACATGCATTGGCGTGTGATGCGATGGATACGAGGGTAGTGTGGTGAGGGCGTGGGTGATAGTGTGTGATGCAGAGGTATGACGTGCAAAAGAAAACCGTAACACTATGGTCTACTCAAAGTATATATTATTATTATGATTCATTTTTATTATTATAATGGACTAGTTCGATTCGAGTTGACCCAAAACTTTGTTTCTTAAACTCGAAAATCGAACTTCTCCATTCAGTTCCAATAAAACAACCCAACCCGACCCAATTAAGGATAACAAATATAAAAATAACGAAACCCAGTTTAGTTCGAGTCGGGTGTAATCCAGCTAGCAAATTAAGACAAGTGTTTCTCTTAAATTAGACATTTCTCATAGATATGAATGTCAACCAAGACAAGACCAAATATCTCCTAGATTTTGGGAGAAAAACAAGACCAAATATCTCCTAGATTTTGGGAGAAACAAGACTTCAAATAAACTTCTTTCTTTTATTCTTCCAGCTATTGCACTAGCTGGATCAATGAAGAACTTCTTCTTACTCATCCTGAGAAAAAAAAAAAAAAAAGTTAAATATAATCTATTTGCCAATTTAATACACAAAAATGTAACAAAATACGCGCGGATTTGATAATGTTTCTTGTTTTTTCATTTTATGTTTTTCAAATATCGAAAAATGAAACTGTTTTAGATAATCGTTTCGTGTTTCAGCTATTAATTATTTCACCCAGTATACAACTCGGTTTTCTGTCTAGACAACCCTAACGTACTAAAGAGAAAGAAGAAAGGAAAACAACCCGTGTCACCTCTAAATCACGAATGTTATCAAACGAAACATTCCCTAGGGAACAGAATCTTATAAGTTACCTCTTTTCCTCGGCAAATCATCGCTAGAGTTTCGATAAGGAAACGGGACATTGCCCGACTCGATATGTTTGACATCGTGTAGGAGAAGTTGGTAATGCCTCTTGACTTCCTCTTCAGTTTTCTCCCCAACAACCTTAGCAACATTGAGCCATCTCTCAGGGGTGTCTTGATCATACACAGCCAAAGCCTTTTCAAAGGCCTTGTTCTGCATTGGAGTCCATGCATTTGAGCCACGAGAGGACATTGAAGCCATTGAAGCAAAAGCTATGCTTGAATGGGGTTTTGTGGTAAAGAGTTGGGGATTTGGTGCAATTTATAAGCAAGAAAAATGTAGGGTTTATAGGTGTGGAGAAATTCCTAGTAGGGCAATAATGGGAAACCTATTGCATTTGAGAGAATGGGAATTTTAATGATTTGTATCTTTAAAAACCACAAGATATAGAACAAAAGAGATGTAGAATCATTTCCCCCAAAGTGTTTTACCTTTTCCTTTGTTTGTAATATTGTTTCTTTTTCTGGGTCGGTTACATATCACTATCAATTTTATAGTTTTAAAACGTATATACTATGAAGAGGTTTATACACCCTTGTAAGGAATGCTTCGTTCGCCTTTTCAACTGATGTGGAATCTCACAATCTACCCCCTTGAGGGCCTAGTGTCCTCGTAGGCACACTGTCTGATGTCTGACTCTGATACTATTTGTAACATTCCAAGCCCACGGCTAACAGATATTTTCTGTTTTGGCTTGTTACATATCGCCGTCAGCTTCATGGTTTTAAAATAAGTCTACTCGGGAGAGGTTTTCACACCCTTATAAGGAATGCTTTGTTCTCCACTCCAGCTGATGTGGGATCTCACAAACATTCCTTAGCGACATGGTTTTGTTACTTCTCACTTGGAAAACTATCCTCATAGACCGACATGGATCCTTTCAGCATATTTTGTCCTTACTTACATGCTTCTTAAGAAAATTTATGTAAGGTCACTATATAAAATTGCTCCAGAAGCCCTTACACTTAAGGATCTTATCCTTAGGATTATTCTCATTCAGATTAGTCTCGGTTCGTTTATGTACCCTTCCTTTACTTGAGCGTCACATAGTCAACCTTCTACAAATTTTCAAACCCATAAGAGAGAGTGTTAAAATATTGATATAATTAAATTTATCATAACCCATTAGCTTAATTTTTTCAATTTAGCGATGATTAAATACTATATCATAGCATTAATCATGTTTTTGAACTTCTATATCGTCATTTACTCTCTAATTAGTATTGATTTCTACGTGTTTGACCCGAGACTGTAAGTGAGAAGAGCGTTAAAGTATCGATATAATTATTGTATCGTAACCTATCAACTTAAGCTTTTGGATTGATGAACGGTCTACCATTTTTTCGTTGAAAAGTTTCTCTCGCTTTCGTTTAACGTCAAAAAAATTCCTAATTTAGCTAATTATCATGAAGTTGAACGTATATTTATATAGTAAGTTTGTGATCTATAGTTTGTTGAAGTAAAGCTATCGTAATATTCTTGGTGGACCGACTTCAAATGGGTAGGGAATTCCCAATTTAGAGTAGGGGGGAAGGATGTAGATGGAGAATTTTTTCTTTTTCAATCTTGAATCACTCATAATTTGAACTACAACTTGTCTAGTCCTATGACACCATCAATAAGTCACCTCACCATGCGCCCATGGCGCCCGATACATTCTTGTCGTTATCTAAAAAAATTTAAAATAAAATGTTGAGTATTAAAAATTGTAACCGCCCAAGCTCACGGTTAATAGATATTGTCCTCTTTAGGCTTTTTCTTTAGAGTTTTCTCTCAAAGTTTTTAAAACGCCTTTACTAGAGTTTTCACACCTTTATTAAGGGTGTTTTGTTCTCCTCCCCAACTGATGTGGGATTCACAATTGACCCCCTTCAGGGCCCAGCGTTCTCAGGCACTCGTTCCTTTCTCCAATTGATGTGGGACCCCCACCAAATCTACCCCCTTCGGGGCCCAGTGTTTTTACTGGCACACCGCCTCATGTCTACACCCTTCGGAGAACAATTTTTTTGCTGGCACATCACTCGGTGTCTGGTTCTGATACCATTTGTAACCGCCCAAACCCACCACTAGCATATATTGTCCTCTTTGAACTTTCACTTTTGGGCTTCCCCTTAAGGTTCTTAAAACGCGTCTAATAGGAAAGGTTTTCTCTCCAACCGATGTGGGATTTCACAAAAATACTCAGTAAGCACCTTCATTACTGAGGTTACTAGATTATGCAATTACATGTATAAAAAAGGGGTACGTGAATGAAACGAAATCACATTCAAATGAGAGTGATTCGGAAGGTAGAATGACTAAGAAAAACTTAAAGAAAATGAAAGTTATTACATATACCAACAAGATGTTTTTTTTTTTTTTTTTTTTTTTTGGCCCACATGAAATGTTGAGAAATATTGGAACAAAAACATTGGGGGATAGTTTATGGGTCATTATTGTGTTTCTTAGTCTCTTTATGTGAAGACACACCACAAATCATCCCAACTACTTTTGTTTTTATCTTTTCATTATTTTCTTTTCAAATTAAAGTATACTTTTCTACCTTTATTTACTTTCAATTTTTCAATTTTTCTTTTTTTACCTTTATTTTTATTTATTTATTTTAATACTCCTTTTCTTTTCTTTTATTGAATGAATTTCATTTATACAAATTAAAAAAAAAACATTCAAATGAGAACGATCTGACTAAGAAAAATATAATATTGGTGGAGATTATTCAGAAAAAATTAATATAATATAAAAATTATATATTTATTTATAATTTAAAAAGTCAAACTGAAAATAAGATTTTGAAGTATTTTTTAATATTATTTTATTAAAATAAATAAAATCTAAGTTCTGTCCATGTGCACTACCTGAGTGATAACTTAATCATTAATTTGGCAGTTAACTCTGTAAGAGAAAATAAATTAATAATTGAAACTACATTGCCTCATAAATTAATTTTTAAATTTGATTNAAGATTTTTTTTTTTTTTTTTTTTTTTTTGGCTCAATCATAGAAACTCCACGGTTAAATGTGTTTTACTTGGAACAATTCTATGTTGCGTGACCTCCTAAGAATTTTCCTAGAATGTATGTGAGTGAGAACAAAACATGTTGGAAGAACTCGTGTTGGTTTATGGAGATAGTTTTCACTCTTAAGATGCGAGTTGGTATGCGGAGATAGTTTTTACTCTTAAGATGCCAGAAGTAGGTAAATGTGACCACATGGTAAGAGATAGTTTGTAAGTTCATCAAATTGAGTTGTCGACTCAGAATTCCCGACCCCGCTTATCTTTCAATTCAGGGCATAGCTAGCGGCATAAGAATGACTCGACATCAACAACTCAAATGATTTAACATGGTATCAAAACAAATATCTTGTAACCCTTTCATTTTGACGAACAAACCACTTTATTCTTGAACTCACATAAATTTCAATAAGAATGGGTATATATGATCTCCAAAAAAAAAAAAAAGTGAAATCTTTACCCTACATTCTCACAAAAGTCAATAAAAATTGGACAATAAGATACTCCTATCAACATCAACCACAACAAAGATACTCATTCCTAACACGAGTTTCGAATCTTTAAAATTAATCACGAATTTAATGTGTCAAATTGAGAAGATTTACAATCAACTTTTTGAATTACATATATGATTGGGAAGAATTCAATCACATTCATCTTATATTCTCTACCTACAAATGAAAAGGACACTTCTTCATAGGCTATATAGGCTACTCTAAATATAAGAAAATGATACTCACAATGGCTATGTAGGGAAGCAATGATATCAATATCACAAATTATGCCATGACTTTTTGCTGCACAACTTGGCCTAGGGCCGTCCCCAACCCGCGGGCAAGACCAATTTGACCAATTTTACGGTTGGTACACTGTTACAAAATACTCATAAACTTTTAAAAGTAGTATTAATATTCTCAACTTTTATAAAAAGTTTTTTTTAGTATCAATATATAGATATAAACTATCTATGTACCCTCTCATAAATCCTCAATCTCTTCAATTTTAAGGGTACTAACGATAAAAATTTATGGGCATTTTTAAAATGTAGTGCTAATAATTCCGTTTATATACTGTATATTTTTGAGACAAAGGGCAAAAGTCATAGGTATTAGGCTGATTTTGTGTAATATATGAATTTGTATTCTATGAGATTAAACAACCTTATGAATCAAATGCTTGAATAAGTACTATCAATGTTTTTCGGAGAAAACGTCATCTTCCTTCAAAATTTTGATTTTCTTGAGAACTGATCGTTCAATCCTTATCGATGACAGAGTACTCATCAAGTATGTCAACATAATGTGATATTTATTATCTATCAATATGGGAAATAGAACTCAAGAACAAACAATTTTGTAGCTTGAACTAAACAATTTAAGGACCACAATAATAGGGAATAGTCCCTAAAAGAAGGAGAATTAGGGATTAGAAAAGATTCTAGGCATTTGGTAGGAGGGTATCTCTAAGCCCTTAGCCTATCAACTTCATTTGAAAATATTCGTTGCATAAAGTTTATTTCATGTAGTTTTCAAATAATCATCACTATTCATTTCATCTCGAAATTACTTCTACTTTTCATCTCTAACGAATCTCATGGCCAATCATGTCTTAGTCCCTTTTTGCTCTCGAAATTACTTCTATTCCTCCTTTGTTTAAGTTTTTTGTTAATAAAAAAATAGTGAGTTTTGAATTAGAGTCCCGTTGAAGATCTGCATGGGTCGTCACAGGATCTGCTCAAGTTGCTATTATACGGGTTCGTGAGGGGCTTACACATATGGGTTTCAAAGTCGTGGGTTCATGATTATTGTTTGATGTGATTTGGTGCATTTGTCGATGAGATATGAATGAACCCGAGTAAAGAAATGGTACATGAATGAACCAATACCACATTTGAATGAAAGTAATCTTAAGGATAAGATGACAAACAAAGACTTAAAAGAATTTAAAGACACTATCTATACCAACAAGATGCACATTTTTTTTTTGTGCTCAGTCATTAGAGCTCCATGATTAAGCCTGCTTTACTTAGAGCAATTCTATGTTGAGTGAACTCTTGTGAATTTTCATAAGATACATGTGAGTGAGAACAACACATGCTTGAAAAATTTGTGATTGTTGGTGGAGATAGTCTTCACACTTAAGAACTTGAAGGACTCGTGATGGTATGTGGGAATAGTTTTCATTCTTAAGAAGTGAGAAGTAGGTAATGTGACCACGTCGTGCAGGTGAATGTCGGGACCATCAGG